ACCCTGGCAGAACCAGGTGGCGACAGTAGAGCCCCCAAAACCCAGCAGGGCTAGTGACCATCAGCGAAAAGGAGGTGGCACTGGAAGCTTGGAAGCCAGCAAAACTGGTTCTCCAGCACCTGCCACATACCCCCCACCGCAGTGGTGGTGCCCCATAACCAAGGGGAATGAGTCACAGAGGGGACACCCACCATCCCAGGGCGTACACAGCACTTTCCTTAACCAACGTGAGGCTCTTCCATCCACTCTGATCCCAGAGACACAGATAGTGCAGGTAAGAGAAAACAAAAACCTGCGCTACAACACCAAGAGAGTACCCTACTTACCAATCTGCTGAATCGCTGAGAGCAAAACAATCTAAATGAGAAAACATCTCACTCCCACAAATGCACAGGCAGAGAGCCCTGGCTGGTGCGGCTCAGTGGACTGAGTGCCAGCCTGAGACACAAAGGGTCACCGGTTCGATTTCCAGTCAGGACACATCCCTGGGTTGATGGCTGGGTCCCCGGTGGGGCCCACGAGAGTCAACACCCACTGATGTTTCTCTCCCTCTTTCTCCCTCTCTTCTCTCTTAAAATAAAATCTTTTTAAAAAATGCACAGGCAGAAAAGCAATCCATGAAATACCATTAACATCCAAGGTACCATGGGAGCACAGAAAGAAAATGAAAGGTCTCCAGAAACCAAATTCAATGCCATGGAAGACTGTGACTTAAATAACAGAGAACTCGAGATTGCAGGTGTGAAGAAGCTCAGTGAGATACAAGAGAACTCAGAAAAGCAGTTCAATAAGCTCAGGAAGAACATTAGTGAACAAAGAAGTACTTTACCAAAGAGACTGAAATTATAAAAAGGAGCTAAACAAATTTTAGAGCTGAAAAACTCAATAAATGAGATGAGGAAAGCAGTAGAGAACACAGGAAAAAGATCAGACCAGAGAGATGACAGAATTAGCAAGCTCAAGGACAGCAACCTAGAAATGACCCGGGAGGAAGATGGCAGAGAACTAAAGGTTCTTTTCTTTTTTTTCTTTTTTTTTTTTTAAGATTTTTTATTTTCAGAGAGGGGAAGGGAAGAAGAAAGAGAGGGAGAGAAACAGAAAGAAACAATCGATTGCCTCTTGCACATCTGCAACTGGGGACCTGGCCTGCAACCCAGGCATGTGCCCTGACCGGGAATCAAACCAGCGGCTGTTCGGTTTGCAGACTAGCACTCAATCCACTGAGCTGCACCAGCCAGGACAAGTTTTTAACAACTAAAAGAACTCTACGAGAACTACCTAACGCCATCAAAAAGAGCAACGTAAGGATAATGGGTGTACTAGAAGAAGAGAGAGACCGGAACAGAGTCTACTCAAAGAAATAATGGATGAGAACTTCCCAAGCCTCTGGAAAGAACGAGAGTTTAGAATAGAGAAAGCTAACAGAACATATAATTATACCAATGCAAAAAACCTTCTCCAAAGACACACTATATCAAAACTCTCAAGGCTATAACCTACAAAGGAAACCCCGTTAGCTCACCATCAGATTTTCCTAATTGTAGACACAATACAAGACAGAACAGAGCGGAAGGAAATATTCAAAATATTGAAAGAGGAGCCATCAGGCCAAGGACAACGTACGCAGCAAAGCCGACCTTAAGCTGTGAAGGAGAAATAAAGCCTTCCCCAGACAGAGCGGCGGGCGGCGCTCACCTCCACAAGACCTGCGGTCTGGGAAACAGCAGAAGGAGCTCTTCCACCGGCAACAAAAAGACAAAATCAGACAAAACTGAGTAAGATGACTGCCACACAGATAGAAAGGAAACTGCCAATCTACTTCAGAACAGGATATTAAACAATTATAACAAAGCCTAAATGGGGGGAGGGTGTTAAAAGTAACTCTAACTACTGCAACTTGGTAATGCGTGCATAACACTGAAAGATCATTTGTGACCACGATGCCATAAAAGGGGAGGAGGAAAAAGACTGGACACATGCAGGTGAATAAAGATAAGCAGCAGCCAGAGAAAAAAGGGCTGTTGGATCAGCGAACTACAGTGCATGGGCCGACTCTTCACGTACCCATTGTTTTCAAAATAGTTTCACTGGAACACACATACAGGTGCTAGCTATTTTAATGTCCCTATTTACTATCTCTATTATAAATATATAATGTTAAACAAGGTAGAGAAAAGAAATAGCATGTTAAGGAAGGACACTAAAGATATAAAAAATTATCAAACTTCTATAGATGAAAATATGTGGAGTAGGATTAATGGCAAATTAGTGCAGAAAAATAGGTTACTGAAATTGAAGGCAACAGAATAATAGAAACTACGCAAAACTAAAGACAGAGAAAGAAACTGGGAAAATGTATGGAACGTCAGTAAGCGGTGGGCCAACATCAAGCAGCCTAATACACACGTAATATATTACATGGAGTCCCAGAAGGCGGTGGGTGAAAATAGGGTAGAGAAAACTTTTTTAAAATAAGACAAAAATCTTCCAAATCTGAGCAAACTATAAACTCAGAGATCCAATAAGTGCCACAAATCTCAAGCAACAACAACAAAAAAAGAAAGCTACACCAGTACACATTATAAATTGCACGAATTCACTGATACAAACCTTAAACACGGCCAGAGATTTTGGAGACAGACAGAACACCAGCCGCCGCCCTCTCAGACACGGCCTGATCCCGAGCACGGCGTGTCATCATCTTTAAAACCAGGATTTGATACTCAGCAAAAATCTGTTTCAAACGTGGAGATTGGGAGAATCTCAACAGGGAGGGCCTGCACGCTTCGCTAAAAAGATTTTGGGTTTTTATCTTCAAAGTAATAGTCATCAGTGAAGTCTAAATGAAGAGTCTTGCTTTTCAGAAAAGACACATTAGCTTTCTGAGGACAGATTGGGTTTGGGGACAAGGGCCTATGTAAGAGCAGAAACCTGTTTAAAAACAAAAACAGAAAAAGAACCAGAGATATGGAAGTAAAGAACAAACTGACAGCAATCAGAGGCGAGGGGGAAGGAGGACAATGGAGGAAAGACGGGGAACGTGTACACAGGACCCATGGACAAGGACGACGGGGTGGGGCTGTCTGTGGGGCAGGGGCTGGACGGGGCAGGGAAGAGCAACGCGGGGAAAACTGGGACGACTGTAACTGAATGATAAAAAAATTAAAAAAAACAAAGGATGCAGACAAACTGGGATGGTACAAGTGGGAGCACAAAAGAGCTGATTAGAAAAACACCTAGAAGATTCAAAGACTTGGTGACTAGATGAGAGACACGAAGAACACGGAGTTAAGGATGATTCCCAGTTACTGACACGAGCAACTCTACCTCCCTGCCTGCCTTCAGCGCGGGGCAAAAGTAGGTTTGCCGTTGTGAGCACATGAAGTGGTTTATTCTAGTATTATCATTTATTAATTATTGTATTATTTTCCACAGGAACAACTCTTTTCCCACACCCTGTATAATTTTAACCACCTGAAAAATAATTTAAAGCAATTACACACCCTCAAAATTGTAACAGAAAATAACATAGACAAATATACTATTCTAAATACTGCATTTAAACTAAGAATTCACAATCTCAGTAGAAATTGCAAATCAAAAATAGAACAGCATATTTTGTAGGAGAAAAAAGGCATCAGCCTTTGTCTGAGATCTGCTTGGAGCTTAGCCTTGGATTTGCAGGCATGGCTCTTGCTCCTCATAAAACGCAGTACAAGCATGATTCCGCTGAGCCGCCTGCTGAGACAGGGAGTACAGAACAGCTCCTGCTAAAGGTAAATCGCTGAAAGGGGGTTTTACCTTTATACACATAACTCATGCGGCAGTTCGAATGGCTGTGTATTTTTGGTCACCCACCTCTAGTACAGTGATCTTGCTTCCTGTGTTTCCATCTTCACAGTGAGGAATCTGTCAGTGCAAGACTTTTAAAGGGTTTTAAATAGTAATAACAAATGTTTACTGTGGGCTTTCTAAGTGCTAGGTACCTAACAAGATGACCTCAGCTGACAACCCTATTAGGTGGTTATTATCCCCATTTAACAAATAAGAGAATTGAGATACAAAAAGGTTAAGTACCTTGCCCCAGCTTATGAAGCTAATAAGCAGAACCAAGGGTTTGAAGCCAGAAACATCTCATCTCCATCCCTGGCCTCTTGATAAATTCTTGTTAAGCCTCAAAACTCTTCCTGTATATCTTAATATGTGGAACACTGATTTTGCACAAGTACAGGCATACCTTGGAGATATCACAGGTTCGGTTCCAGACCACCACAATAAAGCGAGAATCACAATGAAGCGAGTTGTGATCTTCTTGCTGGTAGAGGGTCTTGCCTTTGATTTGTTTAAAAAAAAAAAAAAAGCAACATCTGTGAAGTGCAATAAAACAAAATACAATAAAATAAGGTATGCCTGTGTATACTTTTACATGTAATTACCATTTCTAACATTTAAAAGCTCACAAAATCTTATTAAAATGTTCAGGTTTTCAATTTGCCTCAGTAGATGCTTCAAAACAGGTAACTCAATGACTAAGAATTGTATGTTGACTACTAGAGTTTTCATTAACATATGTACATGCCTGTGTGTGCCATCGGGGATATAAAAGGAGACCCCAGGAAGAGACTCCAAGTCATCAAAGGCATAGTGCGGCTCGGTGCGCACGCTCGGACCAACACTGTCTTGAGCGCTGGTCCACTGCATTGCACAGCGGCTAAACCATCGGTGCTTCACTTCGTACTGTGACCGGAGACAGCTCACGTGATCAACATGGACACCACATTGTGGGTGGACATGGTGAGCTCACATACGCTTACGCTTCCCGTGCTGAACGGCTGGCCAATCACACGCATGGCTCCTTTGCCAACAACTGTACAGGTACCAATTTAACCTCCAATTTATTAACTAATTAAAAATGTATCCAGAGTTTAACAGAAACTGTTTAAAAGGTTATTTCTTTTCAGTGACAACAAAGAAAAAGCCTAGAAACTGACATTCTCCAGTAAAGTTCTTTTATTTGAGTTCAACTTAAAATTGATCTCTCTGCTTGAGAGATGAAATTGCCAATTCTATACACTGTAATAGAAAAGTACTCAATTTGCATATTTCCAATAAAGCATATTTGCCTCATGCTTTGGGCTTCTTCCATCGTACCCAAAAGACCATTTTCAATAAGTGTAACTGTCGCAGCATTGAAATGTCCAGAAAAAATTTCCTGAACTAGAAAGTTGTCCTTGTGTTACCATAACTTAGTCTCTAGTCTCCTGACTATTCACATTGTTGGAAACCAGGAAAAACAGGCTTGTCGCGTGCACGCGCAGCTGGAAAAGGGTCGGTTCGTCTGAAAACACCACTGTGAGATCAGGCAGAGAGCAGGCCCCTCCGCGAACGAACGAGCAGCTGGCGTCCCGGTTCTCCAGGCAGCCGGCTCCTTCCGCGACGGCACGTACTGACGCGGCAGGGGAGGGAGTCGGGGCGCGTGCCTCCACTCAGGATTTAATTTTCCATAGCTAAGAAAAAACCACCAAAATAAGTTAGTTTTAATACAAACAAGGTGGGGTTTGTTTATAACCTCACTCACATGACTAGGAACCAAGAACCCTTTAACAAGAAGGAAAACTCTGGCAATAGCAACCGTTAAGACACAGTAGAGAAAAAACCATGATATTTTCAGGGACGAAAAATGACACATTGTAGTTTATGGGTCTGGGTTTTCATTCATTCTGGCTCTGGCCACGTCCCTAGATCAGAGCAAGACCCTCACTCAGCCCACGCTATTAATCTGACATGAGATTCAAACTTGATTTTTTGTGCAATTCGAGAGCACAGTATATTATTGTACTTTTGTCAAAGGAGAACATCTCAGCGAGAGGCCTGGGGACCACCAATCAAAACGCCTTTCTTTACTTCAAGAGCTATTTCTGTGCCCCCCCCCGCCCCCCCCCACACACACACTGAAGAACAAAGGTAATTATTTTGTATAGTAAGACTATACAAAGACTTTAAGACTAAGGCAGATGCTAAGGAGCAGCGGTCACACTCACTCGGATATTAAATCCTAGAAGATCACTTATAACACCTGAGACAGCAGAAAGGATGACTACTCGTGTGATGTTGTAGATTAATGGATTCATTGTCAGCCCATAGAGTCGAAATGGTGTGTCCAGCTCCTACAAAAACGCAAAAGAACCGAGTTGAGACACATGGTTTCTCAGCATCAATGATTCTGGGCTGTTAATTTTAAACGTCAGGTGAGGGTGAGTGCGTGAGGCTATGTCTTTCCTTCACGTTCAACAGCTACCTTCAGAAAAGCTGTGGCTTGCCCACTTTTCCATCAGCTAAGTTTTTAAAGGCGCATTCAGGCAGTATCTTATTTGTGATTTCTTTTTAAATGTTGTTTAAGAAATGTGTCAGACATCACGTATCACCAGAACCTGGGTAACGAATGGGAAATTTTTTCTTATCAAGTCATTAACCCAAACCTATTAAGTTGACATTTTGAACTCAGCCTAGCACCTGTCTGCCACTAGGGTCTTCCCAAAAAAGTAAAGCATTGACTTAATTTAAATGGTAGGAAAAGAGTGTCATAGGATATTACTTACTTTTAACAATTTGGTGGACAGTTTTAGTACATTGTTTACTAGAGTAAGCTGTTCTTTCTTATTTGGCTTTTTTTCCATCTTAAGATATAAATTAATCTGAGGGAAAGGAATAGAGATTGAGGTAAATGTCACAGAAAAAGACACATACACTGCATGAAATCTGGCCGATTTCAAGAGTCATGTTCTCAAGTAAAGCCAATTTTGAAACTCCAGCAGCTATTTCTACGGAGCACGGGTGACGTACCCTACCCCCCACCCCGAACCAGTCCCACCGGGCAGAGACAGTCTATTTAGGGAAGAAAAGAAATGATAAAGCAACTTAAATATCAAAACAATGGAAATTTTACTATTAATTATAATATAACAATGAACATGTAAGCTCCTTGAGTTCAAAAATGGTATCTTGTTCATCTTGCTGTCCCCAAATACTCTAATGTCCTCACTAAACTTTTTTGGAATAAAAGGAGATCGCTGCTTTTGAAAAGTACTAATTCTTTTTTTTCCCCTTATAGAAAGAATTCTCCACTATAATTCTAAGGCAAAAAGTAAAAATAAAGAACTAATGATGCCAAATACTTTTATTTAAAACTTACAGATAAACAACATTTTTTTAATGTTCTACTACTCTGTATTTATAAGAAACATTTCTCAATCTTAATAGCTGTTCACATACTAAAGAGCAAGAATTTTCCAAACACTGAAATGTATTTTATGGCTGATACAGAAGAAATTCAAGGAGCTTATTAAACATACTTAAATGACAAGTATTCTAAAGACCTAACACTGGAGGTAGAATATGAGTAACAGTATGTTCCGTTCCCATCAATAAAAAAACCTTTGCAGTGTACAAAGTACTTTCAATCCATTAAATCGTAATTCTTACGATCTTGGGAATAGGTGAGGAAGCCACTATGCTCATTTTAGAAGAAAGAGACAATTACATAGTAACAAAGTGACTTGTAAGGTCATATGGCTAGAAAGTGATAGGCCCTCAACTCAACCCTGAATCTTCTGCATAAATCCCATTATGCCACCTCTAACCACTGAACCAAACCGGCAGGGACATTTCAGTACCTGTTCAGTAAGTAATATGGAAACATTGCTGTATTTCTTATTGGTTTCAGACCCCAGTGAGACCAGGCGTAGTAAGAAAAGGAGTAAAGCTGTTTCCCAGATCAAAAGCTCCCAATTATAAGCATCATTCAGGAAAGTTTTATGTCCTTGGAGAACCTATACAAAGACCAAAAAGAAGTTTTTCATTTGTCTTAAAATTTATAATTACTCCTTTATGTCAGCTATTTAAAAACATTGACACGATAGCAATATTTTAATACTCAAAGCACAAGAGTTTAAACTCATAAGCTATTATGTATTTAATCGGTCATCATGTATTACTCTACATCCACTTGTTTTCCTTTGCATGAAAGACAGCAAGCGTTCTGAAGTAACAAAGGAAGACAACATAATTCAATAAGCAAAATAAAATACCAATGCATTTCTAGCCTCTTAAAACACGAGTGTGCCCTCTCAAAAAATAACGGTGACCATTTTCCAAAGTACTAAATTTGCCTATGACTAGTAGAGTTTCCGAAAACACGTGGCCCATCTCACTGGGATAACCAGAAAATCCTGGGAACAAGTTCTTACTCCACTTTAGGATCTGAATAACAGCAGCAGCAGCCACCAGTTACCAAATTTTATGGGACAAGTTTTCTGGTAAAACTTTCCTTTTTTTTTTTCCCCCCAATTTCTTTGCTGTTGATTCAAAAGCAAAGAAATTTACTCATGCAAGTCCAAGGCAAAATGGAATTTATTGAAAAATACACAGAGAATGCTCACAGAGACCAAAGGTAGGCCTTTTGAAAAAACCGGAAGTCACCAAGCAGCTGCCCTCTCCCCGGGGCTGTTTGGGCTCCCACCTCCACTCCTCTTAGCTAATTCCATTTCCTTCCAAGAGCATTGTTTACTGCTCCCCCTAACTTTGGCTTGTTCCAGGCCTGGTGTGTCCCAGCATTCTGCTGGCCCCACTGATCCCTACTGACCTTTCTTCTCCAAAGTCCACCGCTGATATCTCAGATTTTCAGTTCTAATTTCCAAAAGAGGGAATTTGTTTAGCTTAGTCAGGGTCAGTTATTCAGCCCTGCCAATCAGTAATAACAAAGGGAGGGAAGTAACAACTAGTAGCAACCTAGGCCTACCTCTTTCAGCACATGATACAATTTTCTGTGCAGCAATAGATAACTAATACACAAACCACAGACAAACTGCTATGAAGCCAAAGACAAAGAAAAGCTCTTAAAGCCAGCCACAGGAAAAGAACATTACTTTTAAAAGAGCAGCCATAAGAATAACAATTGACTTTTCAAGATAAACTATGGAAATCAGAAGGTAATAGAATCCTTCAAGTGCTGAAAGTAACTGGCAACCTAGAAATCTATACCCAGTAACAATAGCCTTCAAACATGAAAGTGACAAAAGATATTTTCAAACAAAAACTGAGAGAATTCACCACCATCACATTCTTAAATAGAAGGAAAATAATCCAGAGAAAAACAGAGAAATACAAGAACTACTGAAAAGCAACATAAAGGGTTAATATGTAGATAAATATAAATTACTCTAAAATACATTAATAACCACATCTTGTGGGTTTAAGAAGTATGTAAAAGTTAAATGAAGGGCACCAATAACACAAAGTGTTGATTGAAGATTTAATAAAACTGGCCATATGTTGGATAATAAAGCCAGCCTCTTAAAAATATTGAAAGGACTGAAAACATTCAAAGTATGTTTTCTAACCACAGTAGAATTAAGTTTAAACTCAATAAATGGGAAAGTACAAGACAAGCCTATGACTTCTTGTAATAAAGAAAGCACAGAAGTGCCAAAAGGAGGAAGAGGAAGAGGAGGAGGAGGCGGCGAGGGAAGAGGTGATACAGGGACCCGTCAAAAGGACACAGGAAGGATCAGGGTCTCCCACTGGCTAACATCTGCCACCATGATTGTGTGATAGCTTTATCAGTCAAAAATTACCAGCTAAAATGAGAATGATCTTGGAGTCTTAAAGGACTTCTAAAATACCTTTATTGGCATTACAAAAGTTAGGAAAAGTAATAGGAATTCAAAAGAGCCAAAGAAATTTAGACCCATTAAAAATGCATATACTTAAATGCGGTAAATTGGTCCAAACAGATATGAAATGTTACCTGGGCACAACAGATGAAAGCAATGGAAAGTGTCAGCAAGAAGACTGAGGAAACCACCACGTCAACGGAGCGCTGTGGCCCCCGTCTCTGTGGAGAGAGACACACAGGTTCACGCGTTAGGTCACCGTTAGAGACAGCAATGTTCCTCACATCATGAACACACTGAATTTCACTACATTAATTGTTTTTGTTTTTTCTTTTGTCTTTCTACATTAATGTTAAATAGTTGTACAAAGTTTCTGGCATAAGATTTTAACCCCAACTGACAGGACTTCAACACCAACTTTAATGAAGCACTGGAATCCATGCTGTTCCAAATTAAGAGCATGACTGACTCACTAACATATTTTCAGTTAGAATATTTCCCAGAAATGTCAGGAAAAGATACAATATTCAATCTCCTGCTCTGCTCTAAGAATTTAACTTCTCTTTTCCCTTTCTAAGCTCTTACCTGGCAACCTCTGCCAGCCTGCAGCTGTATGGCTCCCAGGCCGGCGTGTGGTGAGGCGCCAGCCACAGGCACTACCCCTCCAGACACGGGCCTACACTGCCTACTGCTTGGCTGCCAGAGATTTCAGTGGGCAGTTTTCTGCATATTCTTGCATATATTCTACTGTCAATCAAATAGAACTCACCTTTAGAAAGGAACGCAGTGATAACCATATCTTGATGTTCTCTACTTTTTTAAGTCTGAAATGAGGTATTTCATATTTTCTAGCTTTTCTGGCAGAAGTAATATGGCTGAAGAGTTTTGCAAATAAAAATCTCTAGAGAAGGTTAGGAAAAATAAAAATCACAAAGTGAAATGTACATATGTGTCTCTGTGTATTTATATATTTGCAAAGAATATCCCCAGCGTATAAAAATTGTCAAAAGGATGAAATTCTAATCAGTGATCCCTAAGACAAACTTTGTTAATAGTTCATTATCCTGTTGCTCCCAAATTACATGATATAGTAACCTACTTTTTCACAGTATGCCACACTCTCGACATTTTCATAGAATGTTCTTTGGAAACCTTTGTGAATCCCTAACTTCAAAAACAAATGTTTTTACAGAAATCTGGTTTTTCCCAAATTATATTTCCATTCCTAACTCTTACCAAATTTCAATCATTTTAATTCTCACTTCACCATTTTTTGCAGTCATTTTGCTCTGAGAAATCACTACATGCACTGCAAGTGAAAACCAGCCAAGTCACGTTGAGGCACGGGTGCTAAGCAGTCGGCGAGGCTTGCTCACTGGCCAAGCTGCTCACTCTTGCCCATGGGCTCAGCAAAATTTCAGATTATAAGAAAGCATTGTGAATAATCAATATCACAAACATTAAACTCACAAATACTAAATTTCCACTTATTCATCCTTCATGGCACACGTTAGCTTTTGGAGAAAGCACAAATCAAGAGAGCAAAAATAATTCAATGAAGCAGATATAAAAGCAGAGGTAAGAAATTTTAATCTTCTACTCACCTGTTTATACGTTCTCTCTGCCACACACATCATGAAAAAAAACATCCACGTAAGACACAATCGTTCGAAAAAATTAATTACAGACAAAATAATAATAGGAGTAACCGGTGGTGCCCCACAAAAGAGAGTCAAGACCTCCTCGGTTGAAATGGACTTCAGCTGGTCAAGGCTCTTCTCACGGAAAAGTCGATGTAAAAAAGGAAAAAATGCTAACCCGATGGTGACGACATTTCCCAGCATCTGATAACCTACTCCTTGCTGATATGCATTAACCTAGGAATTAATTCAGAATGTCCAACATTATTGGATAGCTGAATGGAGTTATGTAGCAGCTTTATCTAATTGCACTTAAATTATTAAAAACAATCTTTAAATATACAAATAAAAAGTACAAGTACAAATAAAAATGATGTATAGATTTATGGCTTTTAGATCTTATTAAAAATTAAGCTTACAAAGGATAAGGAGTATTTGTAGTGTACCTGAACAATTTGTTCATGCTCATTGAGACCTCTGTAACAATAACCAAAAAATACGACCACCTAAAGTCTCTGACTATAAAATTAAAAATACAGCCTTGGCTGGTGTAGCTCAGTTGGCTAGATAGAGTGCTGTCCCACAAATCAAAAGGTTGCAGGTTCGATTCCAGGTCAGGGTACGTGCCTAGGTTGTGGGTTCAGTTCCCAGTTGGGGTGCGTGCAAGAAGCAATCGATCGATGTTTCTTTCTCACATCGATGTTTCTCTCCCTCTTTTTCTCCCTCCCTTCCCCTCACTCTGAAATCAATAAAATTTTAAAAATATAATTAAAAACAAATTTTTGTTTCAAAAGCCGAGTCAGTGTTTATTAGGTTCTATGAAATTGCTGCTGGTCACTGAATAGATTTTTTTGAAAAATCCAAAACAACACTATTACATCTTACCCTGCTCATGATGATACCACTTATTTCTAACACAGACATATCCATCTTTTTGCACTCGTTTCCTTCCCAGATTATTGCACTAACTCGATCAGAGGCAGGGCTTGAGTTCTGAAGCCAGAATAAGTGGTTCTGAGAAGAAAAACAACACTGTTTCTACCCACAGCTTTCTTTCCTCCATTAGACCCCCCCGCCCCGTCACCCAGCTCCCAGGCTCCCTCAGCCCCGGTCGGCCGCGCATCTTTCTATTCCCTCCCCAGCAAAGCTCCGCGCTCCAATCTCCACCTCGATGATGCTGACCTCTGGCTCCTTTTCCTTCCCTACGCCATTTTCCTCCCGGAGAAAAGCTAGGTGACTCCTACAGTGACAGCGCCCCACCATCTCCAACCCTGCTTCCCTCGCTACGCACGGAAGGGGGGAGGAGGTTGGTGTGCTCATCAGGTATTAAGGAGGAAAGTATTACTCAACTAACGCAGCACTAGAGGGGTAGTAGGAAGTTAGTTATGAGAGGTGCTTAACAGGCCTGAGCTATCACATGTGTAACTGCAGAGGGAAGCCTTTCTCCATTCTAATCAGGACACAGAAAAGCAGAGAAAGCTCACGAAGAGCTGGTCGCAGTGAACACGGCCCCCATTCTCCTCTGCCACTGCATGTCTTGTGCTTCAAGTAGCAAGTAGCCCAAGTGCCACCCCACCCGCATGGCCCTCTCTGACCACCACGAGCCTCACCTTGCCTCCTCTGAAATTAAAATCCTTAGAGCCTATATCAGACAAATTAACACCTAAATTATGTGCTGCATTTTTAGTGTCCTTCAATAATTTCCCATAGAGTAATCTGATCACAAACTGGAATATAACTTTCTGATAAAGATCTGCTATCATGGATACTCTTTCTACCACAATGCTTAGCATATACCGATGAGCATTCATTGATTTGGCTGTTGAGTTGGAAAAAACTTACTAAGCACCTACTCTGTAACATGCAGAATGGATACAATGGTGGCCAAGACAGATGTGGTGCTTGGCATGAAGGAGCATGCGCCTGAGGAATGGTCAGAGATGAGACTGTCTCAGGCCGAGGAAAGGAAAAGGAGCGAATAATCCAGGAGGGAATAAAAGCAAAGGGAGCGGCGATCTGCAATGTCGTTCGGGCCGCAGGGTGGAAAGTGAAGGGGAGCAAGCCCAGGGACGCTGTGGTGGCGTTGGAGGGCACGAAGCAGCGAGGACACTGGGGGACAGACTCAGATGACATACTGCAGAATCAAGAGGAAGCAGTGACCAGCGAGAAGCGTGGTGAAGAGGGCAAGCCACGAGTCCCCATGGTCTCTGCCTGGGTGGTGAGCGGTGGCATCCAGAGATACAGGGACGAAAAAGGACAGGTGAGGGGTGGGGACTGGGACGTGAGGAGTTCCATCTGAGACGCAGGGTTCTCTTATCTAATTATTTTTACATACGCCTTAAAATTACACTGCAAATCCCAAACGTGCAAAGGAGGTCGAGATCATCACGCTCTGCGTAACTCCTGAGGACTCATGTAATTTAGATGAATCCTCAGATGAATGTAAAGAATATTTAGATTCAAACTTTGGTAGCAAAATTGGAGGAAGAAGCTTCAAACCTTAATAAGAAAATGGATGCTATTTGTGGGTAGTTTTAAAAAATTGTATACATTTAGTAAAGCAGGATTTTTTTCATAAAAATATCCTGGAATCAAGAAAACCCAATAATTAAACAGTTGTATATCCATCATCCACTATTTCTAAGTCACTGTGGAACTATTTAGCCTAAAGAACAAAAAACTAAGAAGTGTGACCACTGCCAAACATCGGAAAGGCTGACTGGATGATTAAGCAAAGTCCTTACATCTGTCCAGCAGGGAAACAGCTGATGAAATATCATCACTCCTGCTCCAGGAGCTCTGAAGCAGAGGCTTGACTATCGCTAATGGGGATATAAATAGCACTGCTAACATTTACAGGGCACGTACTCCTCGCATTGTGCTAAGTGTTTCATATTATCCGCATTAGCCACGTCGCAATATTCCGAAGCAGCAGAGACTATCATTACCATGGGGTGAACGGAAAAAAATTCTACAGGTGTAGGATGATTCCTACGTCGGCTGGAATGCTGAAATACCTCTTAAGGAATCTCCAATTCTAGCCTATCCAGTTTTATGATATTAATAGAAAACCTAAAATTAAAAGCATCAATTGGTTTGTACATTATTAGAGAAGCAAGCAATGCCACCTCATAGTAATTCATATACAATAATGTGATGTCTCTAAAATAGACTGAGGTTGATGTACCATTCAAACAACCCTACTCATATAAAAGAAAAAGTATGAAGAAAAATTTGGGTTAGGGCAACTCTAGAGTACTCCCCCCTGAGTTCTAATCCCAACATCTATGCTCAATTTCCTTATCTCTAAATTAGGGGTATTAATAGCATCTCCGTAAAAGGATTATTAGAAAGTTAAGTGAGATACTGCAGTGCCTGGCGCAGGATAAGCACACAATAGCCCTTCGCTATTATTGCCATCGCCGTTACAGACCTGCTGGAAAACATCCTCTTTGGGGTCACGTTTGGTCCCTGAGGGAAGGGTGCTCACATGGTCCCCCTCACTGTCGCTGGTGACAGACGACCTGCACTCTGGGCCATGCAGCAGGTCATCCCACAACATATCCTCCGTCTCCGAGTCATGGCGGGTGCTTTCTGAGTCTCTTCTCGACACATTGAGGCTTCGAGAGCCACCAGATCTGGAACCCTTTAAAGGGCAACAACAAAAAATTTTGTTTCACTCATTTTTTTAGAAACAGTTCTGTATCTGAAATAAAATTAAAACACGGTATCTATGGCAGTGGCTGGCAGGCTTTCGTAAGTCAATTGCCGCATAGTCATTTGTTCGCAAGGCTTCACTTAATACCTAAATGTTAAACTCTGACGACTCGAACAAGCAGGGCTTTAAAACAGCTCCCTCAGGATCACTTTGTAAGCCACACAGATGTCTAATTACCACGCTGTGCATCGGAAACTAATGTAGTACTGAATGTCAGCTGTAATTGACATTTTAAAGAAGTTTTTCTAAAGTCAGAAAAAGAATGTGTCAGCATGTATATACATGATAGGCAGATGGAGACAAATCGATAGACAAAAGGACTCCCTCTAAGAAGTCACTGCCAACGCAGGTGCCCCGGACTGGGCTGGCTCCGGCAGGCCCGTGCCGAGGGCCGCCCCCGAGAGCGGGCCCGCCGAGCCTCTGACCGGCCCGAGGTTTCTCTTCTCTCGACACTGTGACCGTGGCGGTAGAGCTGGTCATGGGCAGGGGCCCAGGCACGCACGGCTCATCGGCCAGAGAAACGGGGGGACCACGCGGCTCTCCTGCACCGCAAACATAAGAGTGAAAGTTCTCCCATGACCCTGACTGCCTTGCCGCTCGAAACAAAAACCACACCACGGCCACCTGCTCTGCTCGCCTCCGAACCCTAACACCCCACACGCGCCACACGCCTGCCGGCTCCCACCATGCGATTTCCCGCTCCCATCTCTCTGGGGCCTTCCCCAAAGCCTGTCCTCATCAGATTTAAGCTCCTTATTTCAAGTGAATATTAAGCAAGCTTCTCATGATTTGAGGACTGACTGACCTCTTTCTAAGCATCACCTGTGACACTTTTAGGATTAGGTCAAAATGGCGGGATGGGTAGGTAAAGGGTAAAGACAGCCAAACACATGGTGACGGAAGATGATCTGACTTCGGGCGGTGGGTACACAGCGCGATACACTGATCGTGCAGCGTAGTGCGCACACTCAAAACCTACATTATCTCATTAGCCAACGTCACCCCAATGATTTTAATTTAAAAATAAGGTAAAATAAAATAAAATAAATAATAATAAACAAAAAATGATGAGGTCCAATGAAAAGAGCTCTTTCTCTTTCCGGGGATGAGCAGTCATATAGAAGCTGTTAGACAGATGGACAGAGAGTCAAGAGGTAAGGCAGGGCAGGCCAATATAAACACCACTTGGGGACAGTTAATCAAAAAGGAATGGATGAAGCTATCACACTTGAGGCTACGCCTTGAACAGTGATGTCCCGACAGGACGCGTTACCTGACTGAAGGCTGCTGATTCAAATTCTGACTCGGCCAGACTATCTGAGTCCCGCATAGCGTGACACCACTTGGGAGCAGTTTTCGTTACCTGCCAAAAGTCAAGCCAATGAACAATAGCAAAACGTGGTAAACACTATGTAACAATTCGATGATTTAGAAGCTAATGCCTAGATTTTTACAAACCAAAAGTTACCTGAGAGTTGATGTGCCTTGGAAGTACTGATTTTCTATTCTTGACCTCACAGCCATTGTCACTGGAGGCCCCCTCCACGCTCCGACGCAGTATCATCATCTGTGTCCGGGCTTCGCCATCTTCCTCGCTCGACAGATCCTCTGACATCCCGTTCCCCACCCGCCTGAAAGCCTCCTACAACGAGAACAGCAATTCCTTCACAGGAGACAGCCCCGAACGCTCTTGCAGGCTGCACGTGTGAAAACGAAAAAGCATGTAAACTCTCGGAAGCAGTCAAATTCAACTACACCAAACTGAACAAACCTACACAGCGCTTGATATCAATAAAGAAAACTATTGCTCTTGAGACAAAATAGCCTTAATGCTGGGGCAGCGCTATGCAGTGGGCAGAGGTGCAGGCACGAGTCAGGCTCTGAGTCTGAGTCACAAGCCAGGTGAGTATCTTTCGGGGGCTCAGTTTCCTCATCTGAAAAGCAATATTAAAAGCACCTGTGTCACGGACTTGTTGAAAACAATGAAATGCGTTCCTACATGTAAAGACTTAGAATAGTGCCCAGGCATACTATTAACACTCAAAAATACTAGCTATTTTTGTAATTACCGAATGCCACAGTTTAACAAATGAGAAAAAAATTGTCAAGACTATAAAGGAATGTAGTTTGTTTTAGACACAGAGCAGAACACCTGTCCCTAAACCTAGAAAACAGTGTCCGAAACCTCACCTCTCTGGACCATGACACAGCCATAAATGACATCTCCCGGCCCTACCGCTACAGCTGGCTCAGCAGCAGACGCAGTAACAACCTCTAGTCCTAGAAACTGGAAGAATAAGCTGCAGTCTTCATATGACCATTTCCCTTTCATGTCCTGTGGGTTTACATGTCTCTAATTTATTAAAACAAATTAGACAAGCCCACTGGCATCTATTTCATATCTCTAGCAGGGTCTAAGAAGGGAAAATTTTACACAGGAAAGAAGAAATTTTGTTGTATTTATTTATACCCATCAAAATCTTACCCTACGGCACTTTTCTCCATCTGAAAACTTTGCTTTCTCCGTCGTTTGGCACATTTTAATGTCTGGTCGACACTGTCTCTTCTTAATGATAGGACGCAGGGAACTTGTGTCATTGTCGATTTCAGTCCCTTTGTTACATATTTTTACTCTTTTAACCCTATTTTTTTTTAAAGGAGAAAAAGATTACTGACTAGCATTCTGAAATTCACATCTTCCATGAAATCATTTTTTTCCTGAGGAGTACAATATATGAGGGGGTGACCCCTAAAAACTGGAATTTATTTATTAAAAAGTTATCTTTATATGTTTAAACTTCAGTCACCTTCACAGTACTCTCCCTTTGATGCAATACACGTTCTGAGACATTTTTCCCACTGCTCAAAACAGTTTTTGAACATGTCAATTTTAAAGTCATATTACTCCGAAAATCCAGAAAACTCAGAAATCTTTTTTTTTTTTTTTTTTTTTTTTTTTACTTCACGCTTGCTAAGGGTATAGAAAGGAAGAATAAAGTTATCTCTGGTCTCCAAAGACTCAGGTCAGTTCACTGAAAGGAAGCCTGCACTTCCCAGCTTTGCAAGGAAGCAGGTTCGCAGTCTTCTCCACTTCCCCCGCAAACACAGTGCCAAGCCCCACCTCAGTTCGCCTGTTTGTGCCACTTTGTAGAATGTCCTCCCCTCTCCTGTCCCTCAGAGCCCGACAGCTCTCGGCTCCCGCATGACCCCTGCTGATGACTTCACTCCAGAACCCTCGCTGCGCCTGCCAGACTGCAGGCCCTCTGATCTGCATGTGATCTTTATCCTGTGTGTACACTGCTGGGACTGCACCCACCGGCTGCTTCCTAATTAGATTTAAAATCACTGAGAGTGGGGACGCCCGGTGCCTGGCACCATCTTCAGTGCGAAGAACTCACACCCATCAACCTTGGAGTGGAAACATATCTTTGGGAAAATATGTGAACATATTTCATCTTCAAAAAAGTGACTGTGGAGCCCTGGTTGGTGCAGCTCAGTGGAGTGAGCACTGGCCTGCGAACCAAAGGGTCACCGGCTCGATTCCCAGTCCGGGCACGTGCCTGGGTTGCAGGCCAGGTCCCCTGTAGGGGGTGCGTGAGAGGCAACCATACAATGATGTTTCTCTCCTTCTTTTTCTCCCTCCCTTCTCCTCTATCTAAAAATAAATAAATAACATCTCTCAAAAAAAAAGTAACTGTGAAAGAACTTTATCTTTGAGTCATACTCACTATTATATGACAAATGAGTCTTTCTTGGAATCGTGTGAGTGCTGTCACAGGCTGCAAATCTTGAAGGAGGGAGGGTGTCTCGGAGCAACTTCCCTTTCTGTCCCAAATGCCACCCACACCAGTCTCCCATCCTGCAACCCATCTCTAAGGTGGCATCAGCTTTTACACTGAACAATAACTCATCTTTTTCAAGCCCTTCTCTCTCTCATGATGTTGGCTCCCATGGCTTAAGATATTTACCCTTTCAGAGTACTTAGATTTCTGCAACCTTGTCATCTAAACAACCATTAAAGATCACACAGAATGAAACATTGACGGTAGGTTACTGCATTTACAGGTAACATGCCAGTGGGGACATGTTGAATAAACAATTCATTCTAGAGCCTTTAAAAAAAAAATCAAATACCCTGCAATGATAACGTGCTTGCACTAGGTGTTCCTACGGCCCAATCAGACTATACACTACATAAGCACTCATGTGAATACAAAACTGAGCAACAGTTCCAGTGTAAAACTCCCCACCTGTTGCCGAAGAGAGTCCCCCAGAAACTGCTAAGGAAGCGCGCAGGCCCCACTGCTCCTACGCCTTTGGCTTTATCAGCGGAGTTATTTCCATTTTCTCGGCTCCCGTCACCATTCACAGTTTTACGTAATTTTCTATTTAAAAAAAAAAAAACATTTCAACAACTTCAGATTAAGAACTTTTCTATTTTTGCCCAAAACATCCCCTCCAGAAAATTATACTAACAGGCTACCACCTGCAATTAGGTATAGTGAGCTTCATACAATGAGGATAAATTTGCAGGAATATTTCTGACTAAAGGGCAAAAACAGGTTCCAAATCAAAGACCTGTGCTATCATGTTGTTCAATCATTAAAGAAACAGAACTGCTATTCAAAAAAGTTACTGGGAGGAAAATTTTTACATGTGTGACTAAGAGTCGTTTCAGATACCACTAGTAAAAGGAACAATTCTTTTAAATACAAATGTCAGAAATCTACCCTTTTGGCACATTTAATCAGGAAGACACAAAATAATAACTCATCACCTGGCATTGATATCCTATGCAGTTAAAAAGATACTTCATATAAATACCACCAAGACACAGCACAATGCTGGATTCTCTTGGCAAACATTAAATGAATTGAACTGAACTTTCAAGAAATCTTTTGGGAAAAGAAGTTGGCTTTAAAAATAATACTCAAAAATAAGAATAAGTATGTTGAAATTTATTGCACCAGGTGAAGCAAATCTTATTTAGTAACTGCTTAAGGGAACAAAAATCTGCAGATACTGAGGAAAAATAAAACCACATATACCTAAGAAATCATTAACAATTTCAAAACCCACACATAGCACACAACCAATAACAACATTACATGAAGTCAATGTGTAGAAAAGCCAAATCAATCTTTATTGAAAGTTTAGAACACTTAGAAATTCATCCTTATTATGCACTACTGAAAAAAAGGTAGAATTTTTAGTAGGATAAACCCAATGTACAAAGATCCTTGTTTATAGTGAATTTTCACCAAATTTCTATTAACATTGAATTTTGAAGAATACTTTTTCAAAATTGATATTTGATAAATTTTAATAGAGAACAATATAGAACTACTACAGGAATTTCCTTTTAAGCAACTGTACGAAATGACAAAATCCCGCCTGGGATTAAAAGTTCATGACAGGTTTCTCATCTCATAAAAAGTTTCTGAGCATTAGAGAGAAAAGTGAAAAGCAAACCATTCATTTTTTATTTTTAGCCAAAAAATAATAAAAAAATATGCAAATCAAAAGATTTTTTTCATTATATGAATCAAAGATTTTTCAATATGTCCGATGCCTCTCGCGGAAAAGGCGCAGCTGCAAGTGAGCGCGCTCATCTCACCGTCTCCTGCGGCTCCCGTTGCCGCCCGACGGCCGCGCAATCTGAGCAGACACGATCTGACAGTGGACGGTTCCCATCAGCAGCATAAGGCACAGGGGTCCAAGCACTTCGCTCACATTCACAATGGGCATCATGAAATACAGCACGAGCGCTATGACTGAAACGAAGAGGTTTCAAGATCTAAGACAGTAGGGGTCACCTTTAAAACCAGTTCTAGCAATTACACCAATCAGTTCTACCAAAAAGCTATCATTTTAAAAAGTACACAAGTAAAAGCACATAATGTCCTACAATACACACTGCCTGCACGTTAGCCACGTAAAAACCCGGAGCCTTCTCTGTTTGGGAATAACCAAACAGACTGATGGTGCGGGGTTTGTAGTCAGACAGAGTCCCTGGATGCGTGAAAAAGCTAACATATATAATTTATCTCAATGTGAAAGTCTTCAATAACATTCACGTGGAAAAAATACTTATCTTTCCCCTTACAAGTGACCAAAAAGAAATGCATATTAAAGGAGCAAATATTTTTTGTATATCAAATTAAGTAACAATTTATTAAATTATAATAATGTCAGTAAGAGTAAGGTAAAACAGGAACTCTTGTCTACTCTTTCCCAAAAAAATCATGTCCCCAGCAATTTCATTATACAGGGCGGGCAAAAGTAGGTTTACAGTCGTTCATTTGGAAGATTATAATACAGTAATTAACCCATAATAATACAAGAATAAACTCTGTTTCTCATACTCACAACTATACACATACTTTTGCCCCACCCTGTGTGTGCTAAAATCCTTAAAATGTTGGCACTCTGGCCTGTTCATTCTGTTTCGAATAACAAATGCTGAAGAAATAATATAAAATGTGGAAGATTTTGTTCGTGACGTCAGTATTAAGAGAAAAAGATCAGAAACAACCTAGCTACTGACAACTTGGAAACAGTTATGTAAATTATGGATCTGTACTATTTTATATACTGGAATATTAAGCAACTATAAAAAGTTTATGGTAAATCCATATGATAGACTTACAAAGACATTAAGTAAGTTTTAAATGATATTCCCATATAATGGATTATACAGCCATTAAAATGACAGTTATGAAGACTTAATTACCATTAAATAAAGTGTAAAATTCAGTCCCATATTTACACTAAGCACACTCGGTAGCCACCCGTGGCTAAGGGGCGCGTCACTGCAGCCGCAGTTGCAGACACAGAATTTCCGTCATCATAGAGCTGCTACTGGATGGCACTGTCACAACTTTAAAAATTAAACTTATAGATTTGTAAATTCCTGCATCAAGTTTTCATTCAACTGAAAACAACCAATGCAAAGAAAACACAAGTCTCCCTAAATCCCCTACCCAACCGGACCTTGATGACTCTGTGCCGACTCGCGTCTTTTTGCGCAGGTAGATCCCCAGTGCGCACGGCCCACTTTCAGAAAGTGCTCCTGGTAGGCAACGGTGATGCGGTGGCACAGGGGACACACGGGGTCCCGGCACATGGCGAGGAGAGGTACAACGTCGGGTCACGACGTGTAATAGGGAAATTAAAAGAGCTTCCCGTGACAGCAACTGAGGCATAGCGGGACGCTGTCCAAAGCAAAGGGAGGGACGGCCTCTCCATGAAGACTACATCTTTCATCAGAACTGAGAATTTAAAGATGAGAAGAAAGACAGCCATGGGAAAAGCTTTAAGATTGTTTCAACAGAGAGAAAAGCCGTGTGTGAGGAACAGAAAAAATGGGTGAATGCCTAGTGAGTGCAGAGGACAGGGGCAAGGCGTGACCTCCGAGCGCCAAGCAGGGGACGGGTCACACAGCGCACTGCAGGCCCCGGTAAAAAGTTTCAATTTTATTCCATAGGAAATGAGAAGTCACTAAAGGGTTTTAAGCAGGAACATGACATAATATGGTTCCTGTCCTAAAGGATTTCTCTAAGTGCTGTGAAAAGAATGGTTGGAAGAAAGGAGACTCAGAGAAGATGCTAGTCCAATGGTCTGAGCAAAGGGACGCGGGGGCTGTGGGCGGTGACGGAGGCTGGAGGCGGGCAAACAGAGCCAAGGCATGCGTTGGAAGTCAAACTCACAGGCCCAATGTGAGGGTCGATAGCAGGGAATAACAGAAAGGCAAACTGAGTGGTTGATGAGATGATTTAAATGAAATCTGGGAAGTCCTAAAAAGAAGCAAGCTCGTACCTAAATAAATAAATAAATAAATGAAAGGGGGAAAAAAGTTCGCGAAAAAAAATACAGAGTTCCATTCTGGATATGACTAAGTTGAAGATATTTATTGAACCTCTGTGGAAATGTCAAGCAAGTGATTGCATTTACAAGTCTGAAGTTCAGCAGAGAGATCTGGCCTGAAGATACACATTTGAGGGTCATCAGGATATCAATTATATTTAAAGCAATGGGACTTGATGAAAATACCTAGAGAAGGGAAGGGAATCCGGGATCCACCCCTGAGGCAACCCAATATGCAAATGTCGGACAGAAGGAAAGACGGAGAAGCCTGGCCACAAGGCTGCCAGGGAGAAACGCACAAGAGTGGAGTTCGACGACTGTGCTTGCTCCCTCTGAGCATGACCTGCAGACGGTCTATACCCCTTCACTTCTTTTTACTCTAAACCATCAGATGAAAGGGTAATGTGAAAACAGTAAGATCGGGCCTGGCCGGTGGCTTGGCTGCGGTGTCAACCCGTACACCAGAGGGTTGTGGGTATGATCCCCATTTGGGGCGTGTATGGGAGGCAACCATTCCAAGTTTCTCTCTCACACTGGTGTCTCTCTCTCTCTCTCAAATGAATAAACATATCCTCAAGTGAGAATTTAAAAAAAAGAAAGCAGTAAGGTCTGTACTATCTAATAGCAAAAGCAGCAAAAAGAAGCGGTCATAACCTATTCCAACTTCTCCAATTACCTTGCATGAGGTAAAGCAGTAGCAGCCAAACAAAGATTCTTACAGAGGTCACCTGAATCCACCAACTGCTGAACAATGGGAAAAACACAACTCGAACAAGCCCCTTCCGCGTCAGAGATGTCCACGGAATTTCAGGTTTGGCTTTGGCAAATGTTGAGCCTTTAAATATACAAGAAAGCAAAACGTTAAACACTTATACACACTATAGACTGATGCCCATTTGTAACACTATTAAAAACAGGTAAGAGCAAAATCAGCACATAGCCTGTTCTGTTAAAAAGAATCCTCTTAGATGAAATAACTTCTTGTCTCAATCATGAGGACAGGACCTCAAAGTTGGTCAGGCCCACTTGAATATTACACAGTGCTGCATATTTTTCTTAATTGCAAGTCCATCCCTCCTTCTTGACCCATATGGAAACTGCGATTTATGCAGCCACATAGCACCAAAGCAGAAGGGGAAACATGCCAAAGCCTGAATGATAAGGAAAGAAGATTACTTTTGCAAATTTAAGTACATTACCACATAGGGTGAAATCTAAAAATCATATTCAATACCACTATAAAATAGTATACATGAGAAACAAACCAAATTTAGAACTCACCTCTGATTAGGTCAACGTCAATCAAGTCTGGCTTTATGTGACCCATCTTTTTTGGTTTGTTTTTGAAGCCCTGGGATGAAATAGAACAAAAACAGAAATTAAAACAAACAAACAAACAAAAAAAAAAACTCCCTTTTAAATACAAAAGGTAAACATGCTTCTTTCTTTCTATACCTGACTCCCTCTTACTGGGGATGCTTAATCCTAACGCTCCTGAATATTTATTTTGTTTTAGTTTTTAGTTTTATCAAGCAAGGCATATATACACTTTTATCACTTTTAAATATAATCACACAGTACCAAAATATCAGTAAGGGAAAAGCAGTAATCCCCTAACCTATCTCTTCAACAGATTTCATTCATTTAAAACAAATAGCCTGCATCTTCTTTTAGTTGTTTCTCTTGATATTTACTTCCACACATCTAAATAATATGTTCATACTACTATTTTTTAATGTATTGATTTTAAAAATCATCCTAATACACAGGGCAGAGCAGAAATAGGTTTACGGTTACGAGTATGCAAAACAGTTTATTCCTGTATTATTATTTATTATTGTATTATTTTCTATATGAACTGTAAACCTATTTTTGCCTCACTCTGTGGTGTGAGAAGTTAACTATTTCACTACTAATTCCCACATCCTAATTTCCACTCCAAAACCATATATCCTCCCAACACAGTAATACTGATTTTTTGATAAATCAGTAATCAGTAGTTATAACATGATTGCCATGAAGTATCATTCTCTGTAAGCTATACTTCATATTCTTCCATATACTCTGTGATGTCAGTCAAAATTTGAACCATTTTTGAAATACTCAAATGCCAAAAATTTAATCAAAGTTCTTTTTCTTCCTTAAAAAAAAAAAACCCTCCTAGAAACACGCTTCCCAGAGCCCTCTGCCTTCGCGCCCCAGCTGGGCCAGCTGCTCCCGGGCCAGCTGCACAGCCGGCACCAACCCCAGAACCCCCTTCGCCGCAGCCCTGACAGTCCCCTTCGCCTCTCTGTGCTGTGGCCAATCCCTACCTCCTACGTCCTGTGTCTTCTAGGAGCACATCCTTCCATAGAAAAGAGTCAAAAAAGGTAATTTTTTAAATTCTTGCATGTCTGAAAATGAATTCATTCTACCCTCGTACCTTTTTAATAATTCATTTTTTATTGTTTTTTTCCATTACCATTTATTCCTCATACCCTCTTCTACCTCCGCCCCCACCCCCGCAATCACCACACTGGTGTCTGTGTCCGTGAGTTCTTTTTCTTTTCTGCTCATAAGTTACGGTAGATACAGAATTCTAAGTTGTTTATAATTTTCCCTCAGGAATTAAGACATCGTTCTGTTGTTTTCTAGCACCCAATGTTGCTGTTGCAAATGCCAACGCCACTCTATTTCCTGATCCTTTGCACATGAAATGTTTCTCTCCTCTGATCTTCACTATATTCACGGTGCTCTTTGTAATGAATGAAGAACTTTATAATAATGTGCCTTGATCTGAGTCTTTTACCATCTATTGCGACGAGAATCTCTTCTACATGGAAACTCATGTCTTTCAGTTTTAGGGAAGTTTTCTTAATATTTATTTCTATATTTCTTCCCTTGCAACACAACTTTTCTCTCATATCCACTACCTGTTTTTCTGTCTTTTTGTTCTGTTCCTCAAATTCTTCTATAAATGTTTCATTTTGATTTTTTGGGTTCATTTCTATTCTTTTATACTGAAGGATGTCTCAAATATCAAGGATTCCTCACTGGCTGTCCACTTATACAATAAAATGTTCCTTGAAGAATTATTAGTAAGTGCCTCAGAATGTCAATCACCCATCAACAGCTACTGGAAATTTCCCAACAGCAGCAGACTGGATGAACCACTGTAGTATTATACTGAATAAACTACAACTATGCAACAACATGAATGAAACTCACAAACATGATATTGAACAAAAAGTACCAGACTCAGCCATCACCCTATTTCAGAAGATGCTGTGATACACCACCAACTCCAACCCTCTTGAGACCCAGTGGCCCACCGGCAGTAAGTACTGTGCCACACACGCATGCAAAAACAAAATTAGACTCAAACGTGTATGTGTTGTATAATTTATTTACATACAGCTCAAGAAATGCAAAATTAATTTGTGTGTGAGTAGGCAGGGGACCGGCTACCCCCGTGGGGGCGGAGCCCGGGCATGCGGTGAGGGGAGGGTCCGAGGGACACGCCCAAGTTCCCTTTCTGGATCTGAGATACATGGTGATGTTCAGCTTGTGGAAATTTCTCACGCTGTACACTTATAATTCTGTTACACGTGTGTGCGCGTATATATACATATACTCATGTTTACTAAATATGTTTTACTTCAATAAAAGACTCTTAAAGCTTACTGAAAGCTCTGTGTGTGTGGCTTCTAGACTTAGGGCATCACTTCAGGGTAACCAGCAGGAACCTGGAGGGAATCACCAGATGTCACTCCCTGGAGGCATTTTTTTTTTTTCTTTTCCTGTGATCATTCACATTCACAGAATCCTCAATTATCAAAACCTGGAGACATTTTTTCAGAGATCATTCAAAATAGCCCTCCATCACCATTTGCAGATGGCATGACACTGTGTACAGGAAACGCTAAAGAACCCTCCAAAAATGAAGAGAATAAAATAATTCAGTAAAGTATAAGGGTGCAAAATTAATATAAAGAAATGTCAGGTTCTCACACACTAGTAATGAACAATCAGAAGGAAAAATCAGGGGGGGAAAATGCGCTTACCATTACCTCAAAAAGAATAAAATGGGATTTCTGGTCAGGATGGTGAAGGAGGTAAATGCTGTGCTCGCCTCCTCCCACAACCACATCAAAATTACAACTAAATTAAAAAACCACCACCCTTGAGAACCATCTGAAGACCAGCCGAATGGAACTCCTATAACCAAGGATATAAAGAGAAAGCCCCGTGGAGACCGGTAGGAGGGGTGGAAGTGGGGACAGGGGCAGGTCCCGCACCCACCGGCGGCAGTTAGGAAACGGGACGGGTGTCTTGGCTAAGGAGGTCCCTCCCCAGGAGCAAGTGGTCTCAGCCACACACCGGGCTCCCTGGCCCAGAGTTCCACTGCCAGAAGTGAGGTCCCCCTGACACGTGGCTGTGAAAACCAGTGGGGACTGCGTCTGAGTGAGAGAAAGGCTGCTGGAGGCTTAGGCACTGCCGGTCTTAGCGGGACCTTGCGCAGCCTCACAAACTCACCGGCAGGGGGTCCCAGTGCAAAGGCAGCACCTTGTAAAGTGCCAAGGATGTGAGGGGAGGAGCTAAATTGACTAGCTTCAGGGTAAGGGCTAAAGGCGCAAAGGTCAGGGCACCCCACTCCAGGGACTGCAGCGCTGCCAGATGCCACTGTTCCTTTGTTAAGCCCTCCTCGCACCAACCCGGCAGGCAAGGCAGGTGCCAAATCTGAGCTCGGAATTAGCCTGGCTAACAGCACTCACCCTTCCCTGCTGACTCCCTGAGACCCAGCCCCGCCCAGCTCACTCGCTGAGCCGGAACCTCTTCCAGCAGCTCCCCGACAGCAGCAGCCTGTCTCGGCTCGGGCTGCAAACTTTCCTAAAATCTCTGAAAGGTCCACAAACCCCAAACAAGCAGCGGCTGGCTTCCGCATGCCCTGCGCCTCTGGCTGAGCTCTCCCGGGTCTGGCACCAGCGGTGACTGGTCTCACTGCACTGTAACGCCCATCAGGTAGCCCCAAACCTGGCATAAGCAGTGGCCAGTCTTGACTTGGAACTTAGCCTCAAACAAGCAGCCACAAATGTGGCACACGTAGCAGCTGGCTTCAGCTCACAACAAGACACCTGTCAAAGAATCCCAAGCCCGACACTAGCAGCGGCCCATGTCGGTTTGCCGAAGAGTTTCTCCCACCTACTTCCAAGCCCACCACAAGCAGCATGTGGGATCACTCTGTAGCTCCCACCAGACAGCCCCAAACCTGGCAGAAGCAATGGCTGACCTTGACCTTTACGAGAGTCCCTCCCAAGAGGTTCCAGAATCAACACACCTGGCAGCCAGCTTAAGACTATACCCAATAAGCTCCACAAATGACACACCCAAAGGTACACTTGGCTGGCACTAGATGCTGCTAAAGCAACTCCTATCAGTTCCTGCACAACAGCTCTTCCAATATGGACATGGTCAGCCCACGCATCCAGTCAGCCTGAGGGTCAGTCCCAGCCACTAACATACCAACAAGCAATCAAGGCTCTACTACAACAGGAAGGCACACACGAGCATCACAAGGGACACTCCTGGAGCACCCAGCTCAGGTGCGAAAGGAGACTGTGCCACTGGGCCTCACAGGACGCCTGCTGCCTATGGCCACTCTGCCAAGACCAAGAGATGTAGCAGCTCTACCTAAAACATAGAAACAAATACAGCGAGGCAGCCAAAATGAGGAGACAAAGAAACATGTCTCAAATGAAAGAACAGGACAAAACTACAGAAAGAGGACTAAACAAAATGGAGACAAGCAATCTACCAGATGCAGAGTTCTAAACACTCATTAAATGGATGCTCAGTGAACTTAGGAGAAGAACAGATGTGAACCCCAACCAAGAGATGGAAAACATAAAAATGGAGATAGAAAACTTAAAAAAGAGCCAGTCAGGAATGAAGACTACAATAGCCGAGAAACGAAGACTACATTAGAGGGAATCAATATCATTAGACACAACAGAGGATCAAATCAGCAATCTGAAAGACAAGGTAGCAGAAACACCCAACAGGGACAGCAAAAAGAATTTTAAAAATGAAGATAGTTTAAGGGACCTTTGGGACAATGTCAAGAACACCAGTATTCACATCACAGGGGTACCAGAAGGAGAGAGAGCAAGGGATTGAAAAAATATTACTTCAAGTATTTTTTAATAACCCAAAACTCCCATTAACCTGGTAAAGGGAAGAGACATACAAGTCCAGGAAGCACAAGGAGTCCCAAACTAAATAAGCAGAAAGAGGCCCACAGCAAGTCACATCATAATCAAAATGCCAAAGGCTGAAGACAGAGAGGATCTTAAAAGCAGCAAGAGAAAACTA